AGTTGACTTGTATAGTTTCCTCGGAAAACGATAGTTATCTGTTCCCTCTGTTGTTCCTCTGACTCTGAAGAGTCGAAGCATATTCCAAGCTGGAACCTTTCGATCTTAAGGTCTTGAGAATATGTAACTGGTTCCTTATTGGTTCTTGAGAGTAAGTTTGTTAGATCATCAAAATATAAAGTAAGGTACTTGTAACATATCATTATACAATCAGGTTAAGTAAAGGCAATTGCATTTAATATCATTGATTTATATTCTTTAATAAATGATAAATAATTTGTTATAACAACTGTTAGTTACATTTATAGTGTAAAAGATCATTATACTATCAATGCATATAATTTAAATCTAAAATATTATATATTGTTACTGTAAATGAAAAAAAGAATTTAATACCCAGAAACTGGAAAAACCTAAATGTAGAAGTATTGTATTTATACGAGAGTAATAGTATATTTTTGCTGATGCGAAAGAAACCAACTTTGCTCGATCCCTTAATTAAGAATTTTCCACTAGAATAGGTGTATAGCACTACTTTAATTTGTTTTTGCATATATAGCCAAGTGCATTGGCGAATCAAACGCAAAGGCAAGTTCAATTGAATCCATAGCTTTTTATACATAACATAAATTTATATGTAAAATTTTTATTAAAAGTGTAATAAATAGTATATGTGAACCCATAACTTTAAAATTATAATGAGTTCAATGCTAAAAATTTTAAAGATTGAACTCATAAAATTTAAATTTTAAAATATGATACGTGCATTAAGCGATTCTAAATTTTGGCATCTTCTAATAAAAGGAATATTTTAACACTTTCAGTTTAATTGTGATTGAGTACTTTTACTTTAAAGAATATACGTGTTTGATAAATTTAAAAAGTGCATCTCGCTTTTAAGCACGACAGTGTTATTCGGCTTGATTTGGTGAATTTTGCGTACTTTTAGACCCTGAATCACCTTTTGGATTCGAATATTCGTTCAAGAAAAACTAGTAAGGATGTATCAGGTATTTTTCAATTACCAAATCAAATTAATTGTGTCAGGTTATTAAATTTAAAGTCCAAACCAAACCAATAAAAGTCGAGTTTTTTAATCTCGTATTTTTAGGTTTTTTGGATTTTCGATTTTTTCCTCCATAAAGTCTTCATAACACAAAACATAGAATTTGTGTTTCAAATATTTCTTTAATCTTAGTAAGACATAACTATATAAGGTGTTTTTCAATAAAATAACATAAATATGAGATGAATCATCGCATTGTACAAAAATATTCAACAATAAATATAATAAAATTGCATAAAATTTATTATTAATAAGCCATAATAAAAACAAACATAATTTAAAATTACTAAGTTGCTAAAATAAGTACAACTAATAAGTACTACTATTATTTATTTAATTAAATACTAAAAGAAAAATAAGTTATGCATTTTATCTAAACAATGAAAAAACTAAAAATAGATATCCAACACTATTTTCATTCATAGTACAATTGAATTGCATGTCTTTTATTAGCATTAATATTGATTTGATTTCACTTTAGGATTTATTTGAGTAACTAATATTTATGGACTATAAAACTTATTGGAGCATCCAAAAAATATAAGTCCAAGCTTGAGATAATACGCTAAAAGATAAAACTATGAAATATCTTAAGAAATACTTATAAACTACACTACAATAAATTTTTTATGTATTAAATATATTTAAAACTTTCATACCTATAATGTCGGGTTAATTTGGTTTCGATTTGATATTTTTTTAGTTAAAACCAAACAAAATCAATTATGGTCGGGTTTTTTCTCCAACACCTAACCAAGTCAAACCAAATTATAGTCGGAGTTCTTTTTCTCGGGTTAACTCGAATTATCGAATTGGTGCGATTTGTTGATTTCATTTGCACACCCTTATTTGTAAGGATTCTTTTCATATGTTGGTGGCCTCGCATATAAATTACAAATTCTGGTATTTGGCCATATGCAAAGCGTTGCAATAACTTTTTTAGTATTATTAATCAGGCGTCGTGAGATGGTAAGGATAATTCATATTTATAATTATTTTTGGCTCAATTTAATAATTGATTATCGTGAGATGATAATTCACATTTTTATACCGTTAAATACAAAAACAATTAAAATATTTATTGGATAAGATATTCACCTTTTTCAATCACAATCACTAAAAAGGAAAAGAGAATTTGGGACAGATAGTTGCATGCATCACGTTTTCAATGTTTATCATAACATATTGAAATTGACAGTCAAAATCCTTGTCGACAGCTTCCATCTTTTTAACAACACCAATATCACTCATATCCCGTGAAATTAGTATTGCATTTCTTTTTCAAAAGAGTGACAAAGCAATAAAATCTAGCTATAAATCAATCGAGAGAATAAAATTCCAATAAAATTTCTCGTGATATGAAAAGAAATACTAGAAGATTTAAGTACATATCATTCAAAACGAAACTTTTAACTAAAGACTAAATTGACTAAACCATCATCTATCGAATTAATTAACCTCATATTGAGAAACTTTTGATTAGTTTGAAAAGAAATAAACTCTTTTCTAGGAGAAGAACCAAAACATCTACGGTCAAACATCTCTATAACATTCTTGTTTGTTCCGAATATTTTTGTATGTTATAACGAAGTGCTGTTATAGAGAACATATATTATACTCCTTCCGTTTCAATTTATGTAAACCCATTTGACTGGGCACGGAATTTAAGAAAAGAGAGAAGACTTTTGAACTTGTTGTGTAAAATGAGGCACATATATTTTGTGTGGCTATAAATCATTGTATAAAAGTAAATTGTTTCCAAATAAGGAAAGAGGTCATTCTTTTTGGCACGGACTAAAAAGAAAATTTGTTAGGATCGGAAACCCGGGTAGTGCGAAATTTAGCCAAACAACGGTATAATGACAATAACAAAGATAATGGAAGTTGATAATAATATCAATTAAAGCAGATAAAGAAGACACCAATTTAACGTGGTTCGGTCAAAGTGACCTACGTCCACAAGCGGAGAGGAGCAATTTCACTATACGAATAAGAGTACAAAACTAGAGTAAATACTCTAATTAATCCCAAATACTCTAAGAGAATAACCTCACAAGATCACTCCAAAGAAATGGTTCACACAAGTGCTTCCCAACACTTAACTCTCATACAAAACACTCTTAATAAAGGAGGAAAGGAAGAAACAAGAAATGAAGACTGAAGTCTTGTTGGTGTGTATAAAATGAACTAATGACCTTTCCTTTTATAGGCAAAAAAGTCTTGGCCTCTTAGGTGTAAAAGAAGAGATACAACTTGTGCAAATGATGTCCAACACATAATGCAATATTTTTGGGTCCCAAAGAATATTGCCAACAAAGTCTACACTTTGCAAATATACTTATACTTATGTGAGATGGACTCCATTAGCCAAAATATTAGCCATAATTATAAAATATGTTCACATAAATTGAAACAAAAGGGAGTAACATAGCATGAAAATTGGTTCCGAAAATTTTTGGCTTTTATAAAGAAGTGTTGTTATATAGGGATGGTGTTATATAAATGTTTGACTATATTATTATTATATGATTTTTGCATATTCTTAAAAAAGACATTTAATAACCTTAACCGTTAGAGTATGTCTAAAATTACCATTTATCTCTACCTTAAATTTCACACTTAATAAACACTCTATCAATTAAAAGTAGGTTTGAAAAGTGATAATTGACTTTTTATTTTTTCAAAAACGTCAGTTATTTTAATACAAATTCATATCGGAGCAATAAATATTTGAGATCGAAAGAAAGCACTTTGTATTCCATAGAGAAGTATTTGATTTTGTACGACTTCCATTTCTATATTTTTTTGTTTGTATTCCTTTCATAATACCAAGAGACACCACAAGGGAAAGTGAAATTATTAAAAATTGGTCAATGACATGCATCGCGTTTTCAAATATGTTTTTTGTTATTCTTTTTTCTTTTTGAAGTAATATTTTCAAATAAGCTATTCGCAACAATTAATGCCCCGTTTGTACATAAAAAATTAAAATAAAATAAAATATTTGTCCATGAAATTTTGAAAGATTTTAAAATTTTTTCGAAAATAAATTTTCAAACATTTTCAGTTTTTTTTTTTCATTCATAAAATTGTAATATGTTTTCAAGTGAAATGTATGTATAAACATAATTTTAAATTTTAAATATCATGTTCAAATCAACTTCAAATACAATATTTTTTTTCAAAAATTAAAATTTTTATATCCAAAGGCATACTAAATCTTTTACGGAGATGATAAAAAGGCTCTATACGGTTCAGAAGCATAAAACAACAGTTATTTCGAAACTATTTCAATAGGTGTACAGTCCCATTTTCTGAAAAAATGTCAAATCTACCATTTATGTTCTTACTTTACCCATTTTCGAAAAATATTATTATTGGGGACCACAGGACAGGGGCGGCTCCCAAAATTTTCTACCAACACAGCAAAAGATTAAAATTGAAAATCATGAATACTTTACAGAATACTTAGTGGACTTTTCGACATAGGAATTGTAAAATTCTGAAAAAAATAAAAAATTAATTTTAAGTTAAAATAATATTTAAAAATTAAAGTTGTGTTTGAATATTAATATAATTTTATTTGAATTTTTGTGAGTGATTTGCACTAAATTTTTTGTAAAATAGCCTTATATAGTTTTTTAAAATTTTAAAATTTTTCTTTTAAGTGAAAATTTTATGGCAAAACACAAAAAAAGTGAAATCTTTTTCTATTTTTAAACATTGTGGTTATAAACTAAAAGTATTTATTAATAAATATTTCTACGCGAGGGAGTATCTCATTAAACAAAAAAGTAAAGACACAATAAAGTGAAATTTCACTTTGAGCTATTTATTGTTCTTACTTCTCAACAGTCACGTGTGTTAGGAAAACCTTCATGTCGGCCACAGTTTATAGGCATTTAGATTTAGTGAGATTACAATTTGATAACAAAGACTTCAACAACCAAACAAACAGGGCCCTATATAAATTAAACAATTCACGCCATTTCTCTTCCTCCTTCCTCCGCTGCAACCCTTAGACAACGACCTCCGCCGCCGGCTAAATCTCCACATCCCCGCCACCGCCGGATTCTATTGTATACGTACAAATGGAGGTTCTTCATTTTACCGCTTTAAAGTCGTTGAATTCCTGCCTTCGTCCGGACTTAACGGCTAAAAGCTCCCCCATTGTTCCTACTAATGCCGTGAAAACGAGAAAAAGCAAAAGGAACGCATTTATCCGTGCTAAGGCGGTGGAGATCTTGTCATCTCCAGTTACGGCAGCGGAGCCGTTACAGGCATCACCGTCACAGGATTCACCTTCGGTTCCGTTGCTACGAGTTTCGCCGAGCTCGTTGCAGTGCGAACCGGGATACTTAATACCGAATAGTCCGGTTTTAGGTACCGGTGGTAAGATTGGTTACGAGTATTTGACAAATATCTTGTCGTCGAAAGTGTATGACGTGGCTTATGAGACTCCTTTGCAGAACGCGCCTAAGCTGTCAGAGAGATTGGGAGTTAATGTGTGGCTCAAAAGAGAGGATCTTCAGCCTGTATGTATCTTTCGGTTTGTTCTTTGATACATTACATAGGAATTGTTAAAGTTTGAATTTTTGTTATTAAATTAAGTTCTTGATATATTTCTGTGCTAATTAATATTAGGATTATCACTCTAGTTTTGGATTGAGGCATAGTAGTAGTTGTTGTTGTTGTGTAAATGGAATTTCTTCAGAACTAATTTTTTAACAGCTGAAAGCTACTTTACACTGAGAGAATATTTGGTTACTAAGAGTATTTGGTATGAGAAAGTCAAATGAAAACTTGAAAAATACTAAGAGAGTAGTTGGTATGAGAAACACATTTTCCCCTCAAAATGTCAAATGAAAGATTATGCAGTTCTTTTGTGATAGAATAGAACTACTGTAATAGAAATTTATTGTCCAGAAGTACATCTCATAGTTAGTGATTTAGCTACTATTAAGATTTCCGTTCTCCTTAATATCTGGAACTAAACCATATCAAATGGCTGAAGTAGCTTCTGTTCTCTTTGTTTTTTCCTGTGGGATTGCACTACAATTCACTGTCTAAGAATGATCTGTCAGGACTTTTTTGTTCTTTGACGTGACTGGTTTCGGGAAAGTTGAGCCTCCAAGCTATGCCAAGAGCAGGTTTTGGGAATTTGGTGTTTGCTTTTGGGGGTTGAAAGGTCGGGCAATGTATTAGGACTAGAAATTTGGGTGCTATACCTTATTGTACATAGCAACCGCGTAACAGAAAGGGAGGTCTTAGAGACTGTTTTTGGGATGAAGTCTTTGCTTAGATATGGATTTCCTCAACTTATTTTAAAAACAAGGTATAGATTTCCTCGGAGTGACAATTAGGGGGCTGCAGAGATATGCAAGAGACGTCAGAAATGTATAAGCTTTTATGTATATAGTGTGGGGAAAATGAAGCAGTTGACTTCCTTTGAGCTGGGGCTAGGGGAAAAGTCGGGTAGCTTTGGATCTTAATTTCTTGAATATTTTCTCACATTGTTGGATCTTGATTTTCAAATATTTGTCTATTACAGGCATGTACCTGTAATTTATTCTTTTAAACTTTGATAGAAAGATTCTAAGCTATTCGAGGTTTGTCTCATTATATTTTGATTATGCTTCAAATATTTGAAATTTAAGGAATCTTTTGAACTTACTGTAATTGCATTGTTTCAAGAACATCCATGTTAGGCATTTTTCTCTTATCACGTATTCATGTTTCTTTTTCCCTTTGACCAAACTCAACCGACACTCGAAGAGGAAATTGACTCTGCTCTACTCTATCCGTCGTTTGGCTTTGATCCACTCTTGTTACATTTTGGGTTGATTCGGATCTTTTTCTTGTTGGGGTTAGACGAGGTTTAATTACATTAGGGAAAGAAAAAACAAAATAGACAGTGGGCTTGTGCTTATCTGATTGGTTCTGTGGATTTATCTAGTTTTGTATCTTTTGTTTCCCCTAAATATTATTCCTCTATACTTTTGGCTTTGAAAAGTTAATGCTTGTTCCACTTCTGTAGGCTGTTATTCTCCTTAAGATTTTCTAAACTCCCCTCCAAAAAAAGAAAGAAAGAAAGATAGAAAGCATGAGTGAATGAATGAAAGAAGAGGTTCTTATAGTTGGAAATACAATATTTTGCATTGGAGTAGAGTACACTCAGTAAATTTGACATACTCATATGGGCAGGTCTTCTCGTTCAAGCTCAGAGGAGCTTACAATATGATGGCAAAACTTTCTAAGGAGCAGTTGGAAAGAGGGGTTATATGCTCATCAGCTGGAAATCATGCACAAGGTGTTGCATTAGCCGCTCAGAGACTTGGCTGCAATGCTGTGATTGCCATGCCTGTTACTACACCAGACATTAAAGTTAGGATTGTTGAATTACACTTTTGGTTTTTATAGCTATAGTTTTGAATGAATTCCGTTATTTTAACTTATCCATTTTTCTAAAAACCATGTTTTTCCAATCTGAGCAGTGGAAATCAGTTAAGAGATTGGGTGCTACTGTTGTTCTAGTGGGAGACGCATATGATGAAGCTCAAGCATACGCAAAAGCGCGGGCCGAAGCTGAAGGCCGTACATTCATCCCTCCTTTTGATCACCCTGATGTCATCATAGGACAAGGTACAGTTGGAATGGAGATAAATCGACAGCTTAAAGAAAACATTCATGCAGTCTTTGTGCCTGTTGGTGGAGGGGGTCTTATAGCTGGTATTGCTGCCTATTTGAAAAGGGTTGCCCCTGATATAAAGATTATTGGAGTTGAGCCACTTGATGCAAATGCAATGGCATTATCATTACAGCATGGTCAAAGAGTAATGCTGGACCAAGTTGGGGGTTTCGCAGATGGTGTAGCTGTTAAAGTGGTCGGTGAAGAAACTTATCGTCTCTGCAAGGAATTAATAGATGGCGTGGTCCTTGTTGGTCGTGATGCTATATGTGCATCTATAAAGGTTAGCCCCCATCTTTTATTTTACATGTTGCTTCATCTGGATTATGTGACTGTTTTGGTTTTTACCTTATATCTTACTAAGGACCAAATCTTTCAATGCCTGTTATTATGCTCCTTGAACCACACCACCAGTCTCCCTAAATGAGACTACCAATTGCAATTTTTGTCAGTTACCTCTATTTCTTTGCTAGGGCCTAGGAATTGTTAATTTTCTCACCTTTGTTCTGGCCTCTTGTGTTATATATGATGATACTATGCAACAATGTTTTAAGAGATGGAATGGACACAGCGGCGGATCTGCCTTGGAGCCATTGGTGCCTGTGAACCCATGCTTGTGGCTCTAAATTTGTATTTTTACTATACATTTTTTTTAGAAAAAGGTGATATAATCTTCTGTGGCCCCATGCTCTCAAATGAGTGTTTGGTGCACTGGTTCAATCTTTGCGATAAGACAAATGCTTTGTACAGGAGGTAATTAGATCAAACCTCATTTAGAGCTTTCTTCTTTTCTTTTTCCTTGTCCACTGGCAAGTGCCAAGCACTTTCTTTATCTTTTTTCCTTTTCCCCCTTTGAATCTTTCTTCTTTTCCCTTTTCTATTTTTTCCCTGCTTTTCTTTCACAACCAAGCAGCCTTAATCTCTTCTTTTTTTTTCCCCTCTTGAAAAGGACTTAGCATTATACTGAAATATATTAGTTAAAAGATCTGTATATTATCACTATAATTTTACTATCTTGATAGATTACTTACTATTAGAGGTTACCAATCAAATGATTGTGGTAAGAAATTACCTATAAGTAATCTCTAAGCGACATAATTCCGTAATACTAATAATTTACATCTTTAGTATGTAAAGATTGAATTCTTCTGGAAAAAAAGAATAAGCATATCTCCCATATCTCTCATCAACTACCAAGCCCCCAACTCTAATGACTTTACAACCTTAGCTTGAAAATTGCTTGAATCGCAAATTTGGCAGTTGCGACTCGTCCCTCTTCTGTCGTTGCCAACAGTGGTGCACCCATCTTCTTGAATTTCTGGATCCGCCTCTGAATGGACAGGGTGGTTTAAGCAAAATTATGAATCGTAAAAGAAAATTAAAACGTTGTAAAATAATATATAAAAATTGTAGGAAGCTATGAACTTTGATACCAGCATTCCGCAAAATTTCAGAAATGATCAGTGGGAAGAGGCACCACAGGTCTTTTACCCCCGGGGTTTCGGTCTAGTGGTAAGACCGCAATTTGTGATGTGTGGGTTAGGCGCACGTCACTGGTTCGTTCCCTGCCGCAGACAAAAGCTTGGTATCTAAGTGGAAAAGGGTAGAGGGACAGGCCTTTGTCCATCGAGTTTCGAACCGTGTGCCACAAGCTCTCGGGGATTTCTCGGTTATCAGATAAAAGGAAAAAAAGAGAGGCATTGGTGTTTAGTTAAACTTGATCATCCTTTTATAGGTGCTAGACTGTGGAATGTCCACTGAAGCAACATGTTTCTGTGCCAATTTTTTTTTTTTCGTAATCTTCTTAGAGATATATATGACCATTTTTCATGCAGCAAGTCTATAACAACTGGTGAGACAGCTTTTTTGCATGAGTTATACATCTTTTGATGTGACAGTTCATTGTTCCTTTGATAGGACATGTTTGAAGAGAAAAGAAGCATACTAGAGCCTGCAGGTGCACTTGCTCTTGCTGGAGCTGAGGCATACTGCAAGTACTATGGCCTCAAGGGTGAAAACGTAGTAGCAATAACTAGTGGAGCCAACATGAACTTTGACAGACTTAGATTGGTAACTGAACTCGCAGATGTTGGTAGACAACGGGAAGCTGTTCTTGCTACTTTTATGCCAGAAGAGCCAGGTAGCTTCAAGAAGTTCTCTGAAATGGTAGGTTACCTTGAGTGCTTAATATGGCTATTTGGTTAGTAGCACTTCCCTGAATAGCAGACTGAAGCATTCTCTTCGATTACAGGTAGGGCCAATGAATATCACTGAATTCAAGTACAGATACAATTCTGGGAAAGAAAAAGCTCTTGTACTTTACAGGCAAGGTCTCCTTGATATTCTAAAGAGATTTCGACTCATTTAGATGATGATTTTAATATTTATTAACACAATTACTTTATTCATGAAAGGACATAAACAAATTCTTAATATTTCCCAGTTATTTGCCTCTCCATAAATCTATTATTATAACCTATAATAAAGCCAGTTTTATTTTATTTTAAAATTTTAAATTGAATAATGCTAGCTTTATATTCGTTGTTTTATGGCCCCCCTTTTTAATGTGCAGTGTTGGTCTTCACACAAAATTAGAACTTGAAGAAATGGTGAAGAGGATGAAATCTGCAGAACTGCAAACCGTTAATCTTACGGATAATGACTTGGTCAAAGATCATCTAAGGCATTTGGTAATGTTTTTAGTCTCTATATCATATTGATTTAATTCCTAGTATAAAACAGTATGTGTAGTTATTCTAGTAGTGTTTTCGAATATTTTAGTTTTTGCCACTATGTTAAGAAACTTAAATAACAATTAACACTAACAAATTAATGTTTTCATCTCTTGAGATTCTTAATTCTTCGAGAGTACATTTGCAGAGAAATGAGTTTTAACTTCCTATCATAGGTGACGAGATGTTTCCTTTGTTCTACCTGGTTTTATGAATTATGCGGTGCACATTGGATATTGATGGGTCTCTCTCTCTCTCTCTCTCTCTCTCTCTCTCTCTCTCTCAGATGGGTGGCAGAACAAATGTTCAAAATGAGCTTCTGTGTCGATTCACTTTTCCCGAGAAGCCCGGTGCTTTGATGAAGTTTTTAAATGCTTTCAGCCCACGTTGGAATATAAGTTTGTTTCATTACCGTGCACAGGTACCTATATGGAATCTCATTCTTCTAGTTCCGTTCTTCCCTTTGTCGGTGCTTGTCTTTAGTTTTTCTGCTATTACTTTTGAGTAATTTTTTCTATTGTTTTTTTGTCCTGAAAGGGAGACACTGGTGCAAATGTGCTAGTTGGCATCCAAGTTCCGCAGGCTGAGGTCGATGAGTTCCAGGGACGGGCTGACAGTCTTGGGTATGAATATGCAATGGAGAGTCTCAATGAGGCTTTCCAGCTCATAATGCACTGAAAAAGCTGCAGCTCATAATGCAAAGAAAATAACATGTGGAACTTGCCGACCTCACTTTCTCCCGGTTAGATCATTCTGAATTCTCGTTGTTAGCGGAAGATGCTTGGTTCATAGATCCAGTGTGCTAGATGATTTTGGGCTAGTCCTTATCTTTTCTATAAGTAGCTATTTGTATCATTGTATGTTATCTTAAGGCCTTCATTTCCATGAACAAGCAATTCACTTTCAAGATAATTTTAGGAGTTCTCTTCTATTTCAACTTTGGCCTTCTTAGTCCCAGCTTCATCATGTGTTTGGACTAAATTAATTTTGTTTCATGTTCATTATCTTGTTTTTGTTTTTCTGCGGGTGCTTGGATTTGAATTTTGAAGAATTACTTTTGGGATTATATTAAGAGAATAGGTTGGGTGGTTTGTTTTTCGGGTGAAACAAATAATTTACTTCCTTCCTTTGGCAGACTTGAGTGAGAATCTTGAAAACTGCACACCTAGTTCAGCTCGCATACACCTTAAAACTAAAGTCTTGACCTGTGTGGGCGTGTGCAATCTAGGTTGGTAGTGTCTGTTCTACGTATAGGGGCTGAAAAAAACTAACATTGAATGGAGATTTTCAATCGTAGTGGGAAATTTACATGGGTGAGCCTTCTACTCTTTCATATCGTTATGCTTACTTCTCTATTGATTGAGAAAAAACAAACTAAGAAACAAAAAGAAGATTTTTTTTCCTTTTCCCAGTTAGGTTCTTTTTGGTTCCTCTTCCTCAAATGGATCATGCCTTTCTATGCCGAGATGATATAGTGCGATCTAGCATGTCTCAGTTAAATACTATGGTCTCAAATTCTAATGGCGTTTCTAATTATAGTCAGAGGTGTATTCAAAATTTAAATTTGATGCATTCGACCTTTCGGTTCTTGTCGCTGAACCCATTACTCTTTTAAAATTATGGCTTTAGAAATTAATATTTATTACTTTATATATATATATAAAGTAATATATATATATATATATTGTCCAACACACTGGGT